CCTATTCCTATGTGATGTTAATGTGCTAATCTCCTAATGCTTCTCAGAGAGGCATGCGTTTTGGCACTGCTCCCTGTAGTTACAAGGGAGAAGCCTACCAAACGACCCAGCTAGGATTGTCTTTCAGATAGCTAGGGATGCTGCTAATGTTGCATCGTCAATGCTACCAGTAAGAATTGGGTTAGACAGAGCCAATGTAACTCTTCCCCCTCCAGATTCTCGAAACAAATGTTGCTGAGGGCCTCACTCCCAGACAGCAGTGGGACGTACATATGAGGTCCACTGTTTGTTTCAAATATTGCAGGGTACTCCAAAAAGAGAGCATTCCAAGTCATTTGCCATTAGATGTCTAAGGTTGTCAGTCATCAGGCTGTCCCCCTTGGTAGCTACACTTGACAAGGGACAGACCCATAGGCAGGTTATTCTCTTGGTGGCACTAGATATTCTTAAGATGTTGGCCGTGCCAGTTGCGTGTCTACAGAGGAACGTGGTTCCCCTGGTTCCTTAGTTGGAAAGAATCTCAAATGAGTAGTTTCATTGTATTATTTTGACCATTACAGATCTTTTCAATGTATGCGGTGTCTTGGTAAACCTCTGGAAGTCCACTGAGCAGGCTTAATCACCAGAGTTTGTTGCTGTTGCATTGAACTCTGTTGCCTTAGCTGGATTCTTTTGTCCAGAGCGAGACTGGTTGTGTGCTGCTTGTACCGCTATACCTGTCTATCCCAGGGTCTACCAACGTCTTCAATTGGATCATGATTTGTGCTATGTCTTGCTGTGGAGCTGCCCTTGCTAGCTGCAGAGCTGAAGCTCTACTGGTGGCCTCCAGAAATGTCTGTGAGCAGTGGCCTGTCAGTGTGAGGTAGAGCAGCCTGGTACTCTCTGGATATTGCCACAGCAAAATGATCTCCGGGCACAAGCACTTGTGGCACACAGTTGCTCAGAGTTAAAATGGGCAACCTATCTGCAAACTCTTACAAATAAGGTCCTTTTGCCCATACCTCCTGATGTTAGTGGTGTACAAGAAGCAAGGTTTTGGTTTGGTTTTTTGTTTTTTCAGAAAGGTGGATCTTTCCTATGACCTTGTTAGTCTCTTTTGGATCTTCATGTACGTTTGTAAACGGAGATTATGAATGCTTGCACCTTCCTAGCCCATGTAGGGAAGGAAGAGTAGGACTCCCCGTTGATGCCCAGGTCTCCACCGTCCCCAGTGGTAGAACTGGCTGCTCCTCCAGCCCCACTGATGTAATGTGGAGTGGTAGGAATGAAAGACTGTGTAGGTACAGGGGGCTAAGGAAGGTGCGTGATGTTGCATGGTCTTGCTGTCTTTATTTTTGACTTCTCTGGTTTTATATATTCTGCAGGTACACCTTATGAATTTCAGAAAAAGTATTTTGGGGACTGTCTTGTCTTGTATTTCCTTCCATGTAACACTGAATTTTTTTGAAAACCAGGACTGACTAACTGGTTGATTCCTGATTCAGATATGAGCATTTTTCCTGCTTTATTTTCAGTTTTAGCTCATACAATCTGAAGAAGGAAGGGAAGGGGGGACTTTGTGTATAGCAGAGATCACGGTGTTAAACATGGACAAGCTAGCTCTGTTCTGCGCTTAATAAACAGCAGGTTAATTACTTGAGATTCCCTTACCTAGTTCTTTAACACCAGTCTCAGTATTCATTCGGTGTTTAAAATTCCTGCAACTGCTAGGGCAAGGCAGCAGGGAGTCCAAAATCCTCCTCTTAATTTAAGCTCCATGAAAGAGTTGACTATGGAGGGACTTCAGTCTCAACTTAAATATTTAAGGAATATTTAATTTTAGTAATAACACATTGTATCCCTTCGCCATGACAATTCAGAATAAGAACTCAAAACCAGTTGTATAAATGAAACTGTTTTAAATGGGAGCAACTTTCTCCAAAGTCCTAATGGTGTTTTAATTGTTACTTACAAAGTAGACTGTCTACGTCATGCCAAGGGCAATAACAGCTTTCATACTGCTAGGCTGAGAATGTTTTCTGTTAATCCAATTATGTATTTTTAGATGTCTTGGAGGTTTGGCAAAAGCAGCCATTAAAGAAAAATGAAAATCCATTCCTTAAAATTTGTCATCATAGTTAGAGGAATAAGGTATTGTTATAATGACTGGAATGACTAGAAAAAAAATTAGAAGAATAATAGCCATTTTCTACTTCTGGTGAGCTGATGTTATAGCAACTGTATGAGGCCATTTTTCTGTGTATATGCAGATATAATTAGTTGATGGTGTGCTGCTGGGGCAAAGCATGGTATGGGAGGATTTTGAGAAACCCTGTTCAGAAATCGGTCCTGTTGTGTTTCATCACTCACGAGTTACAATCTCTGTGATGCACACAAGCACAACTGACCTTACGAAGAGGCTAGAAACCATTATCTTCTTACCTGCTGCTAAAATATACAGTATTTTCAAACGTTAGAGCGGCAAGAAAGCTAGACAGCCTTGCAGGATTTTTCTAGAAAGCTGGAAGACTCAGAGTGCTTTTCTTAATAGCCTCACTAAGTCCAGGGGGTAGGCTTTGTTACTAAAAAGCTAGTAGCAAGAAGTTCTCATCTCTTGATGATTTTCACATGAGATGTGTTTGCAGCATCCTGCAATACTTAATAGTATTCACTGTTGCTTAGTGTAACAGTGCTTGAGTATGGAAGATTTCTGACTTCCCTATTTTTAAATTTATTAAAATCTCTGACCATTCTGCTTGTGTCTTTTCCGTAGATTCATTCCCCTCTAACCATGAGCAACTATTAGGGAAATATCTTATTCCTTCTGTCGCAGGTGTGGACATTGTCAGCGTCTCCAGCCAACTTGGAATGATTTGGGAGATAAATACAACAACATGGAAAACCCGCAGGTCTATGTTGTTAAAGTGGATTGTACTACAGATACTCCACTGTGCTCTGAATTTGGCGTCCGAGGATACCCTACGTAAGTATAAAAGGACGTCTGCTCCTACGTCTTTCTTTTTTAGTTTTCCATGATCCTCTGCCAATTTGTTGAAGCTGACTTCTAAGCTATATTTTTTTGGTGGATTTCTTTGTAGCCCTTTGGACCTCATACGTTCATTTTAAGCCTTTTTACCATGTTGCCAAGTATCATGTGATACATACTACTCTTACTCTTTCTCTTTTATTTTTTTTTAAGAAACTGTTTTATGTCTTGGAAGAAGGCTGTGTTTAAATGAAGCCCAGAATTGTCCTTTTCTTTTTCTCAAGCAACAGTGCATTATACAGCCATGATATGCATGATAGAGCTGGTCTCTGGTAACGGTACTTTTAAAAATAACTTGTCACAAGTTTGTCAGTACACTGCACCATTCATAACTAATGTATAGGTGATCTCTTAAATTTCTGAGTGAACTTGGTGCTCATAAAATGATAAATTAATGGTATCACTTAGCATAGCAGTGGTGATGTTATACAGACTTTTTCTAGGTAATTTTGCTTATATTGATCTAGAAGTTCAGTTGGAGTTTAAGGTTGTTAAAGTTACCCTGTTGTAAAGGATATATGCCTTACTGCCTCAGCTTTGGTAGGCAGAACATGATCTAGAGTATATCTATGAGATGTCAGCCTGGAATAGCGCTTTTGGGTTAGACACACATGCTCCCTTTTTAGCTGCCAAAAAGGAGCAAAGGGATTTTTTTCACTTGTGTCTTCTTCAAAGCTTGGAAAAATGGATGGGATCGTTTCAATTGCTTTACTAAATACTCGGTGGGGATAAGTGGAGAATGTCGTCTTCTGTAGCCCTTCCACAACCTGTATTTTCCAGTTTCCTTCCCTTTGCCCACTTTGTCTGGTGTTACTGCTGACCCCAGCAACAGCCTGAACTTGACATACGCTCCTGGCTGCACCCACTTTGACGCAGATGAGTGCGACTGAGTAGAAGCTGAGAGCTATAAATAGCAAAGTCCTTGTTGAAATAGGAATTGTCTGTAAGGGCAGTTTGCGGCTTAGTTCCACTAGAAATACCAAGAAACAATGAATATTACAACTCTATTTTAATTTCCCCAAAAGTGAGCACTGGTAGTCTTTACATATTTGAATAGATTATATTGTGGTGCTGTTCCTTGTAAAATAGAAAGAGTGGCAGAGATTTTGAATAAGAAAAAAAAAAAGAATGAATGTGTAATTGCTCCCTCCCCCTCCTTTAAGGTCATTGAATATCTAGGAATAGTTAGTGCTCGCTTTCATCTACTTGAAAAGTACAAATGATAAGGCAGTCAACTGCTAGTTATAGAAATGAGGAGATGAAGGGGAGTTCATGATATCAATTCTCTTCCTGGCTGAGTCAGTTTTTAACTAGCCTGTTTTTAAAAACCTCCAGCAAGGGAAATTTCGCAGCTTCCTCGGGCACAGAAGGATTGTCGCAAGTCCAGGATGTGCTGGTCCCTGCACTGCTTTTGCAAACACCCGTCAAAGGAAAGGCTGCATCCCCTTTCCATCCCCCTGAGAGCAAAACTGGCTGAGCAGGTCCCTGCGCTTGTTAGTACACTTGTCTCAGGATTATTTAGGGCTGCAAAACACTTTCAGCTGAACTAGAGAAAACTTATCCTCATATGAAGAAAATAAAAGTGCAGCTGGCTCTTTAAGCTGATATCTTTTTTTTTCTCTTGTTACTCTTCAAAAGTATTGCCATGAGGTGTATTTTAGATGTTCTTTTGTTTCATTTTTGTTGTTTCCTTCTTATTACGAAGTTGCTTTTTTTTTTTTTTTTTCCTTTTCCCCCCAAAAAACTTTTGACCTTTTATTATCACAAGGAATATTCACGAATACCTTAAATAGAAAAGGCAGTGGGAGCTCCTGTCTGTTTTGAATGTATTTGCATTATGTGGTTTTTCAACACTTTCATATGTTCATTTTTTCCAATGTGGAACAAGAAGAGAGAGAAAAACATTTGAAGAAAAAGAAAAAGCAGCACAAAACAACAGCTTGGGAAGGAGAACTGAGGGCTAGGTGATAGTAGTAATTGAAATTATGATTTGCTTTAAAAAATAAGACTAGGTCAGAAGTCGATATTGCCCCTTTACCAGATATATTTCCAATTTTAACTTCAATATTTAATAGTAGAAGCTTTAGGTAGTTTATGGAAAAGTTTTGATAGCAATTATTAAATGTAATAATCATGAAGTCTTGAATCCTTACAAGCAGTCACTTATTTCCTTGTCCTATTGACTTGTTTCAGCGTGTTTTTAATCAGTTTAATACCACATGAAAAGTCCTGCATTCCAAAAGCAGTCAGGGAACGAAATGTGAGAAAGAAATTCCTGGGAAAATGAGCACTGGGTATTTTTCCTTTGGTGGTGGAGAGGGGTGAACAGAACAAAGTAGATGCTTTTTGACAAACTGAAGTAGGATTCATAGGCATAATGAATGATTAACCTTAGAACTGAACGCTGCAATGTTTTATTTCCTCTTGCTTATTGATCAAAGTAATATCAGGCTATGTTGATGTTTAACATGGTATTTCTTTTTGCTGTTTTTAAAATCTCCTTTAAAAGCTTACATGGCAATGAAAAAGTGTCCTAAGTTCTGGCCATGACCCTTTAAGTTGAGGGAGATGCCTGGTGCTAATAGTCAAGAGAGCTGTTACTGCAGCCTGAGCTGCATTGCTGTGGATTAGCAAAGCGTGTTAGCTTTCCAAGAATGTTTCCTGTGTGAAAATTTTTGCCTCACTCTTTTCTGCATTTTGATCCTTTAGCCTAAAGCTGCTTAAACCGGGACAAGAACCTCTGAAATACCAAGGCCCTAGGGACTTCCAGGCACTGGAAAATTGGATGTTGGAGAAACTAAATGAGGAACCATCTGTAAGTGAAAAGGAAATACGAAAAGGAAATATTCCCTTCTGCAGACTTGCTGATCTATCACTTCTGTAGGTTAGGTTTCATTTTCCAGGAGGAAATCTGCTCCTGAGAATAGAAGTCAGGTGGCAATAACAATATGGAACAGCTTCCACATAAGTCAGAATAGTAATTAAAACTGTCATCCTGTGACCTGCCCTTTGTTTCCTGTATTTAAAACTACAGGACATAATGCAGTTTTTAATGTTTAGCATTTTGATATTTTCAGATACAATTCTTAGCGTCAATTCAGTTAACACCTGTAGGCATATGTTTCTAGAATAAGAAAAGCGATTTAGCTATGATATGTTATAGATTGCATTTGTGTTGGGCTTAATTACCTCTTAAAACATGGATGCCATCTTTAGCTCAGTTATTATCTGATAATGTTGTAGCCTAAAGAAAGGGTTTAAAATAATTGGCTAGGTAAGTTAAGCTAATACCATCACTAGGAAAACCCTTGAGTTTAGGGGTAGCAGTAACATATAGTGGTCAAGCCTTGCCTAAAATTAAATTTATAATTGCTGTTTCTAATCAAGTTAAAGCTTTAGTGATTGCTGAACCACAATTAGAACATGATTATATTTAAACCAACATGATATTTTTAATAATTAAACGTTAAATGCTGAACTATTTTAAGAAATGTACTTGGAGGTTCTTAAAAAATTCTTTCCAGCTCTGACCCTGCTATCTAGAAAGTAGTCACTTGCTTTTGCTGAAGTGCCACTGGGTTTGCTGCAAGTTATAACTACAAAGTGTTTGCTCTTTTCCCATTGTGGCTGCCTTCATGGAGCCATTAGGTCCTTCTTTCCTACATTAGAGGAGCAGAATAGCTTTTTCACTAGCTATTTTTAAATAGCCCAAAGACCACTGAAACTGGTGCAATGGCAGACGCGGCTGACGCGTGATGCGACGGAGGAACTGTTATGTAATCCAAGTGTATTAATATATGGTGATGTGATGAATGCCATAGCAATTACTGTGCTCGGTGACTATGCTACAGCACGGTGAAAGAGTCTGTTACTCCGATGACTGTGATAGCTCTTTTCTGTGTGGCAGTCTTTTTCACATTTCGCTTTCAAGTACTTGTTTGTTAGGAAACATTAGATACCTAAATCAAGCTAAATAAGGACATTGCTTTAGGAATTTAAAATTTCAGAGTATAGAGTTCACAACTCCACCACAGAATGGTGTGATACAGGAATCAAATATTGTGTATTGACTGTACAAGACAAATAAAACTTGATTTTTCTTATGAATAGGATCCAGAATCTGATGTGGAACCACCAAAAGCCCCTGAACCTAAGCAGGGAATGTATGAACTCTCAGCAGACAATTTCAAGATGCACATAGCAGAAGGTAACTGTTTTTTTCATAAGCAAGAGGTACTCGCTTATAGAGACATCAGTTGTGGGAGGCTGCAACAGAAATGTTAGTTTTCAAGGTACCTTCTTCCCACTTTTATTTTCCAGTAATACCTACTGAAAGAGGATGAAACTACAGACTGTGTAAAAATGCAGTAGTTTAATTACATATTGCACACCACGAGAAAGTTTAAGAACGGCATTGCACTCAGAAGGCAGTAAAATTAAGGCCCCTAATCATATGGAAGTAACTAGTGGGGCTTGTGCTGTTTCTTTCCGAGTTCCTTGCTCAGTCACAGCCTTGCCACTCACCTTGTGTTTTTGCAAGTCTCGTTTCCTCTACAGGCTGCTCTTCTGGACAAATATAATCCACCGGCTTCCTCCTTACTGCCCCCATCCCGCTCCAGTCTGGCCCCTTACTTGATATTGTTTAGCTTCCTTCCTCCAGAATTTAATGTGGGCAAAACACTTCACCTCAGTTTGGCCATTTTTAAAAATATTTTGTCTGGAAGCTTGAAAATGAATGCTAGGAGTGATACCTAACATGGGAAATTTCACCCCCCACATGGTGGGTTTTTTAGAGAATGAGCAAGATCTTACAATACAAACTTTGGGCTGCTGTAACAACAGATGAAAGGCCAGATTAAATTAACTATCTGTACCCATGTGATACCACCAGTGAGGTAGATACTAGAACTTCTTAAAGTAACCATTAACTAATTAGAAATATTTTCAAGTGTAAAAGAGCATTTTGTGCAGCTAACTTAAAATTTCCCAGCCTGTGTGGCTTAACAGAGAATTACATCAAAATTCTTCACGGATTCTTCTCTAAGCTATCAGGGAGATGCTAAGCATTAAACAACTTTACAGTCTGAGAAGATAGTTAAGTTTAGTGTACGTGTAAATGTTTTAATATTTTTATTGCAATATTTTTACTTTGTATCCATTGGCCTTCATAGAGGAGACATTCTCTTGGTCATAGCCGATGGTTGAGCAGATTTATGATCATCTGTAAAGCTGTTGTCTTCTCTTGACTTCAGTTAAAAGAAATTCAGTGCTTAAATTCAGC